AAAAAATTTATTTTTAGTATAAAAAAGAATAAAACTTCTTATTTTAGAGATCTTTGTTGCTTATATATAACTTAGTTAGTTTCTATCTTCCTCTTTGCATTAATTTTGTACTAAATTTTTAATCAATTTCTCACTTACATCTAATCTAACCTATCTCATTTTGGACTTATATAATTCAATATAAAATCAATAGATTGATTTAAAAACTTTTGAAATAGATTATATATCACATTCTTTATTTAATTTCTAAATTTTAAAGTAATTTTTGACTTAAATCATTTTTAGTAAGCAAGTTACTTAAGTTAAATTTCTAATCACTATTTTTTCTTCACAATTCTATCCCTAGTTATTTTTTTGTACATAATTCTCAAATCAAATGTCATAATGCCTTCAAACTTGATGAATGAATTTTTTACTTAAAAAAATAACTATTTTTTAAGTTTCATAATCATATCTCTTATAAACATCAAATTATAATCCCTCAAAATTGTTGCCTTTGATTTGCCATCTTACTAGACCTTCTTTGGTTTAGTACCTTTTTTTTTCTTGACTCAATTAATTTCTATCCTCAAGAACTATACAAAATTGGATAAACTTATCTTAAAAAATGTCTTAAAATCTTCCTCTAATCAAAGACACTAATCAATCACAATAAATTTTTTTCCAAGTTTCAAAATTTGACTTCTCTATTTTTCAAAACAAAGTTAAAATAACCATAAAAAACATCATATGTGCTTTTATTACCTCTTTTAAGTCACCTAGACCTCTCAAAAATATCACCAAGATGTCTCTTCCATAGAAATCTACTATATGTGATCTATCTTATCCTTATTTTTATCTTCAAAATATCACCAAGATGACTCTAAGATAAGAATCCACTACTTCTAGTGTACCTTATCCTCCAAATATCACCAAGAGAAATCAAAGATAAGAATCCATCACATGTGGTTTATCTTATTATTATTTTCATCTTTTAATTTTCTAAATTAATAATCTAATTGCTAGTCTTTTGATAATGAAAAAATAAGTATATAAATTAAAATAACAAATCACTAATATCAATCTAATTGTATACTTAATATAGGAAAAATATACATGAATGCCTATTATTTAACTATTAAATAGTCAACATCACAACATTAGTGTGTATTATTGATATCATTAGTAAAATATATGTTGGTATTATTAGTAAAATTACTCTTTGAAGTTGTGCCAGAGGCATTTAGAGGTATGGATTTTTTTTCCTCTAAGTTTATTTTTTATATAAAATTCTAATTTCCATGACTACATACTATTCTTCAATCTTAATATTTTTTTAATTAAACACTACAACTTTTAAAATGACTATTTATCTATTCCAAGGATTAAAGAGTTCATATGCCTTAGTTGTTGAAACATAATCTAAGATGAAGCATTCAGTAGATTTAGAGTGAAGTTTATTGCACTTGTGTTTGGATACATGAATATAAGCCAAGCAACCAAAAAGTTCTATTTGGTCTACATTAAGCTTGATGCTTGAATAATTTTTTTTGATATTAATCTATTATTTTTGCTTATTAAACATCTATTTGTGATGTATGTGGCAATATTGATGTCTTCATTTTTTAAGTAAGTTGGAACATTATAAGTTATCAACATATTACAAGCTTTGGCCAACAAGGTTCCATTCATTTTTTTAGCAATTTGATTCTAATAAAGAGTGTATATTTGAGTCATATGATGGACTATACTATTATCTATCAAGAATTATTTGAATTCTTTTGAGATATATTTATCTCCTATATTAAATAAAATAAAAAATATATATATTTTCTTTTCAATCAAAAATTTAATTACTTTGAATGTTTTAAAAGCTTTTAATTTATTATTAAAAAATATGTCCAAATTTTATATAAGAAAACATCTATAAATGTTATAAAATACTTATGCTTTAACAAAGATAGTGAAGGCAAAGGTCTACAAAGGTCTAAATGAATTGTTTCATTCTTTTGTGTGGTGCATGTAGAATTAATCTTAAAAATATGTATACTAGTTTGCTTTTCTTCTATGCAATGTTGGCATGATTCTTCTTGAAGCTTGAAGTAAGGTAGTCCTTGTATATTGTAAATTATATTATGTAGTATTTAATAGTTAACTTGTCCTAATTGACAATGTCAAATATCAATATAGGTAATGTCATCCACCAAATAAATGCTTGTATCTATTGTATAAGATTCTAATTTATACAATCCATTGGTGGCATCCTTTGTTTTTTTTTCTAAAATTTTAATAGTGTCATTAGAGCTTATAATTTCATAGTATATTGATTCAAATAAAATAATGAAATCTTCATTAGTTATATTATCTATTAAGAAAAGATTCTTAGTAATTCCTAATAGATATAGAATATTATTAATTTTCTTTACTTTGATAAGTCACTAATTATATATTTGGTGGCTCCTAAATCTAAATATTAATTAAGGTCTTGTTACTTAATATCTAAAGATATCATAGTAGCCTTAAATATTTTTGGCATATTGGTTTTCTCTTCTAGTTTTGAGTTTTTTTAAACTATATTAATTTGTGGCTTGTACTCTTATCTTCTAAAATCCTAGTAAATAAATTTTTTCAAATTTTGGTAGTCACATTCTTAAGCAAAGTGGCCCTACTCATTGTAGCTATTATAATTTCTCCTTCTGATCATCCTTGGTCCTTCTAATACTTGTATGTGGTTGATATTTAGTATCAAGCATCCTTTTAGGATATCCATTCTTAAAGATGGAATATTCACCACTCTTAAATCTTTTTAAAACATACCATAGTACCTTTTAGCCCTAGTTATTGAAAGAGCTTTTTGTTAAATGTAATCTTCTTTATTTCAAGATTCTTTTAGAAGTAATTTTTTATAAAAGTATCCAAAATTAGAAAGTTGGTCTTGATACATCACAAATTAGATAAAAGAGACATAGATTTTTGATAACTTCTCAAGCATGATTTATATTATTTGATTGTTTGGTATTAGATCTTCAATATTTGGAAGTTAAGTAACTAGTTCCTTCACTCTCTTTATAAAGTATTTTATTATTGTTCCTTTCATCATCTTAATGTTATTTACTTTATCACTAAGATGTGGTATTTTTTCCATTATATGCTTTAAAGATGTTCTTGAAAATATCTCATATGGCATCTAGCTCTTCCAAATTTTAGTGATATAATGATAATTATTATAGTTTTTTTTCCTTTTTAATTTTGACAAGATTCTTACAAGTTTTAGAATTATGCAAGCCTCTTATGGACACACATAATACTACAACTTCTTTTCTTTTAAAATTATTCTCATTTTTATCTTCCACACTCAATAGTTTGAAGTGCCTTCTACCTTGTTGGACTTGGCAATGCTAAAGGATTCTTTTTCCATTGTTTTTCAGTCAAACTATCTATTATTTAATTATATGTATGTTTATAGTTTTACAATTTTTTTTTTAAGTTTATTTTTTATAGCTATAAATTCAACAATGCAAGTAATGTTGCATGCACGACTTCAATGAAAAAATCTTCAAACAAATCCATGACTTTGCCTACCCATTTCTTTGATAACTATTGTATTCAATCCTTATTTGGTTACTTTCTTCCTACTCTTAAGTTTACTCTTTTTAGAAAAAGCCCTCAATTCTTTCCTATGATAATATATTGAAACATAATCAATAAATGAGAATGTAGCTATAAGAAAAATATCACTACAATACAAACAATATAATTTTTTTAGTATATATATGTATTTTGATTTTAATCATCTAATTACTTCTATTAGAAGAATTTTTTTCGTAGATAAATAGATATAGAGTGATTCCAATTAATCTATTATATGGATTCTAATTTACTAGCTTAAAGAAGTATAAGGGTCTTGTGATCCATTTAAAGCAACTTGACTTCTACTTAGAATATGAAACATCTTATTTTATCATAAGGTGTATAAAATAATTTGCTCAAATATAAATCTATCTAGTGACCTACATGAAGGGTTGTTATTTGATTGGATTAATCATGTTCCATATTTAATTGAACTTATAAGCTTGGAGAGACTAATTTCTACTTTTATTTTTGTACTCTTTATTTTCTTTTAAGATAAATACAATACAAAATCTATTATATTATCTAGTTAGTAATTTTAAAATTTACAAAAGTTTCAAAGATATTAATTTGTAACTTAACTTTAAAAGTACAAAATGACTTGATTAATGAGTAATTGTTTTACAAATTATTGAATAAATACTAGCAATATCACTATATCAAAAACACTTCTTCTTCTTCTTCTTCTTCTTCGTCATTCTTTTCCATTTTCTTGTGTATTTTATAAATTTTAGTAGATAATTGGCTTTGAATTATTCTTGAAACACTTTATATGCCATTTAGAGTTCTTAATGTTTTACAAAAATAATACATTTTCATTGCTTTATTCACATTACAAACAAATTTGAACATGAAGAAATCAATAAAAATATGTATTCTATTTTTATCTATTATTTAAGAAATTATGTTAATTTATTTTAAATGCATGGATTCTAAATATGTAAGAACATTCAAATTTGGCATAATTCAATTTTGAAACATCAAAACTATTGATTTAAATATAAATTCTAATATAATTATAAAATACCAATTACAAGATTTAAAAAATTAATACATATATAAAAAAAATAATTTTACTTTTAAGTAGTAAAATCTTCATTTGAAAGTAATTTCTCTCACATTGTAGTCTAAAATTTTACAAAATCCTTACCACAAAGCTTCAAAATTATCTTGGTTGAGAATACATCCAAGATAAAACATTTTCAAAACATATACTTTTCTTCAGAAAAATCCCACATAAATTCCCTCCAAATAAACAAGACGCTCAAGTAATCTTTAAAAATAAACTTTTTTTTTGTTGAAAAATCCAAACTACCCGAAAAAGAAAGAAAGGCGAAAACCTGAAGTGCCAAGTCCCCTCCTGAGATCCCCACGTGCGAGTAGACCTGCAGGCCTCAATCCGAAGTCCCTAAGTTGTGGACGACGAAAGTTCACCGACGAAATTCGAAATATCGTTCGCTGGTCATGGCATTCAAGGAACGATGAACCGTTGACAGTTACGCCCGCCTTCTTCTCGGTTCTGACCGCCGCCCTCTTCCACCAGTTCTCTTGCGTCTGTACCGTGTCCTTGCCGTTTTTATTCGAGGTTTCAGCTGCCTGCAGTTCACTCCCGTTCAGCGTGAACCAATGCGTTGTATAGCTTTTTACTTGTTATACGTCACATTATGTGATAGGGAATCAGCTGATTATTTTATAACACTGATTAAGGACAATTGATCTGCAAATAGGTCATTTGAATGGAAAGAAAGAGTTCTAAGGAAAGATATAATCAGGCAGATGAATTGTCGTGACCTGCGTGACCTACGCGCTCTACTTTTTGGAAACGAATCATCGCTACCAAAGAAAAGGTTGTATGGCTGTTGGGAATGGGAAACTACTGATGCTTTGACGTTAGCTGCGCGGATACAGGTGAGAGTGAGTTCGCAAGGGTTACCTCTGGCCCTTCTGTTCACCGTTTGTGTACCTGGCTGATTGTCAAGATGTCTTTTGCTGAAGCACTGCGTGCCGTGGTGAGCTTTACGTAGTTCAAGATACTATAACGTTGTTAAGCGATTACTTCCTTCTGATTTTTGGGCTGAAAGACAAGAAATTATTTGGTGGAGCCACACCATCACGTAGAAACGTAGAAGCCCTCGAAAAATGAGAAACCTCGTGGGTACTTAAATCTGAGTTCAAAAACTAAGCTGGATAAAAAATAAAAAAATAAAAACCCGCAGCCGGTCTGTGAGTGTGTTGTATCTGTAAACGTCCAAAAGCGGTCTGGTTCTTTGAGGGTTTGAGGTCTAAAAATGCACAATATCAGAGTGCATGGAAAGCAGATATTCAACTCCAATTTATAATCATGAAATGCAGGACAGATTGAGGAGGTGGGACCATTCTCGATCGAGTTGATGACTTGATTAGCATACGATGTCACTCTCGTCCATAGCGCTGGAGAAAATGGGCCAGAAGAAATCTATTGTCAAGACTGCAACAATCTCAACTATCAATATTGGTTTAGAAGACTTCCCAGAAACTAAGTCTTTGGAGGAACTTCAATACAGCTGCTCGCATCGACCTTTACGTCGGCTTAGCGGTTCTATGCATTCCAATATGCCAGCCACGTCTAAAGCACCCCCACGACACACCATCCAAATCAACAAATCATCCTCTTCTTCTGAAGTCAATAGCAGAAATGTGTCTGCGCGATGTTCCAATCCTGTATTCTACTCTCTTGTTAACAAGGGGAAGAAATTCCCCTTGGACAACTTAGCAAGAACCCCAAATCGCGATATCAGTACGTCTGAAGCACCATCTCGACAGGTCTTTCCTTGCTGTCTTTGAGTCACTACTTTAAAATTATCCCAATTTTTTCCATCCAACATATTCCTTAATTTTACAGATTCTCCTCCATGCGCCCATACGGCTTTGCCTATGCCTCAAGATTTACCTGATTCCTGCTGCCACTCGATTTTCTGACGTTCGCTATAGTACACGAGTGCAGTTGAAGATGCAGGAGATCGTTTGTGCCCCTGTTTGATATGAATTACGTGTCAGGATGGCTTCTTGCTATCGAAATTTTTTCATGAAAAGAATTCGTAAGCTAGTTAGCAATTAATAAGATGAATCTGTCTAAGGAGCGTGCTGCTGTTATGCTTGACTAGCTTCAGCTCGTGTTGAAATATCTGCAGGCAACACCAGCACGCGCACAGAAGCAAAGACCGAGTACAGCAGGGGCTAGCTGTGAGAAATCATCTGAGAGAAAGTGTGAAATGTTTTCTGAGCGGCACAGCTCGTGTGAACTGTATGAGAACTCGGGAGGCGACAGAAAGCCCACTTGTCCACCTCTGACTAGGAAGTTGTTTTCTGGCGGTAGCCCAGCCCCGCTGCAGATTCCGTCACGGCAGGTGAGGCTAAATAATGAGATTGAACTCAGCCCCCTCAGCATGCAGGATATGAGTGAGGGTTTGAACAAGATAGAGGAACTGATCTTCCCCTTAAAAGCACAAGAAGTCGTCATGAGGGAAAACATGGCGTTCGAGGTCTCCCCGATGCTCTCTTCAAGTTTTGCAGAGCTAGAGGATGGTGCCATGAAACCATTATACATGGCTCCGCTAAGAACATTAGATACTAAGAATAGCGATAGCGAGCTAGAAATCCAAAAGAATTTGACAGGGGATTGCTGTCGTCATCGACGGGCAAAAAGCACTACGAAGGGTAGGAGAAGAAAAGATAGACCCATGTCGTGTTTCGAGAGGTCCCAAGGAAACGACAACGAGGTGAAATTTAAGGAAGGGGTTACTCGAAGATGGAGAAATGTCGAGTCCTCGAGTAGATCTTTACCATTGGATGGCGATTGCAACGATACTGATAGTGCTGAATCCACTGAGGGGGGCGGAGAAGAGCAGTTAGTTCGCAGAAGATGGCCCAAAATTCCTCAGTTCTTCTCGAGCTCCGCCAGGTCCCCGACAAGTGCTCAGCACTCTGTATCTGAATCAGAGTCGTCATTTATAGAGACTCAAGGTATACCTACACAAGCTGAAGCCGATGTAGAATCTGCTGTAGGGGAACAGGGAGACATTTCAAGCAAGCCTGAAAGCAGGTTCATGAATAAATTGGTGAATTCAAGGTGGTCCAGATTGGAGGAAAGTAATCCTACAAGCGACAGAACCACTGGACACGAATCTGTCACCAACATGGAGCCGAGAGAAGGAAGCAGAAGGTCTCAAGAATGCGTGTTCAATGAGAAGAGGTACGAAGGGTTCGAGGAAGAAAATGAAGTTCTCTCCAAAATTGCGCCTCACGATGGACTGGATCAAGAGATTGAGAATGTAGCGTGTACCTCTCTACCCTCGAAAGAGTCGCAAATCTTCAGCCCACATAACTTTGGAAAGAATATCACAATGATTGTCCTTCCCACATCTATCATCTCTTGTGGGCAAACCACCAGTGCAACCAGGTCACCAAGGAACACCCAACAACGATCATCGCAATCCAGCGGGGGCCAACTGCTTATCCCCACCAAGGAAGCGCAAGATCACACCTTCAACTCAAGCAAAGTAGGGACAATACAGCAAGAGGACGACCAAGATCATGAACCTGAAGTAAACCCAGTCTCTATCGTGGAAGTTGCATCCCCACAAATCAAGAAACAAATTCTGGCAAATTTTTTGGAGAATGTATCACCGCAGAAACAATTGTCCTATTATGAAGACTCTGAATCCATTGCATCCGAGAGCGCAGACGAGAAACATGTCGACTCCAGCATCGCCCACCATCAAGATGATTTAGAAGCTGAAGCACGAGCTAGCAATGATATCGGATGCTACAATGATCGAACTAACCATGCTTCTCTTGAGAAGTATGCACAAAGGAGCATTGATGTGGAGGACAAGGCTCCCACTAGTATGGCAATGCAAGCTAGCAAACCTGATGAAAAATACATGCACGCATCGTTGTCTACGGAGAAATTGAGCAGTATTTTATCATATCTTGGTCAGGTAGAGGAGTCCAATCGGCAAGAGATTTGTGGTGTTGCAAAAGAGAGAGGAAGTATAAAAGGAACTTACTTCCACAACCCTAGGGAGAATGCCTCACCAAAAGCTGTGTTAGAGCACACTGAGGATGCATTTTCCCTCACATGCTCGTCACAAACACCAAATTCTGGTTTCTATTCAGCAGCAGAAGTTGGTGGGGAATTCAGAATCGATGATAGCAATCCCGCTGTTGGTGCTTCCACCGTTTTCGACGCGGTTAGGAAGAAGGTGCAGGAGCTTAAGCTTGAGATCGCTGAGCACGAAACTAAGATCGCCCAGTTAAAATCTGACAATGAGAAGCTTATCCGAGACAGGGAGAAACATATGCACATGTAAATCTCTCCGAACCTAACCCTGACCAAACGGTAGTCTAATCGTTTTCGTTCAAGTCAAATGATCTCATGCACAGCACCATAAGCGTCATGATAATATTGAAAAAGAGTCATTACACTTCATCTTTAGGAACGATGCCATTAGACTCATCTGAATGAGTTGATTTTTTTGGACGTTGTTCAAACAGGGAAAGAGAGAAGTATAATAAAGAGCTAGAGAATCAAGCGGCAGAGTACAAATTGGTCATCCAGCATCACTTGTCGGTGAACGAGAAGATGCTGCGGGATAAAGAACAACTTTCCGAAAAGTGTTGTAATCTTGCTGGAATACTCTCCATTGCCGAATCTAAGGTTAAGAGTCGTGACTCCATTCAAGGACAAAAATTAGATTGATATGACCCATTTAACAATATTCTGATGTTGTGTTTTGGTGCCCTTGTAGTTTGATGAAAAGGTGAAACAACTCTCCGAGCACTGGTCTCGAGAGATGAAGAAGGTATTAAATCAGAGCCAGTCTTTCCAGGTCTCAATTGGTAAATGCAATGTACAAGGCACTAAAAAAACTTGAATTCATAGCGAAAGATGAAAATGCATTCAAAGATCAAGTTGGTGCCAGTGTCGAGCGAGATGAAGCGAGTGAATGTCATGAATTTACGATTTCCATTCTTCCGCAGGCCAAGGATCTCTGGGCTGTCGGAGAAAAACAAAGGCAGAAACAATGGCAATTAAAGAAAATTAAAGAACTGAAGGAGACCGCCATTCGGGGTCTGGAGCCGCACCTCGACAATCTCAATGATGTACTGATTATTAGAGTTCTCTCTATTCTCTCTCCTATTGTTTAATTTGATCGTTCGAATTGTTACAGAACATGTGGAACTTCAAGTTTCAAGGGTTGTCGAGATTTCTTAGAGGATAATTTGCAAGTCGTTAACTGGTAGCAAGAACATTCAAATATTCGTATGAGAGCTACAACGGGTTTTGGCTTTTGCCACCTTCTGCCCTTTTAAATTTGGATATTCCCGTCCGAATGAACACTATACTTCGAAAAAATCAAAAGATTTGCAATATAATTATGAAATATACTCGGATGATTTGGCTTTCACAGAAACACAGGCAAGAAATTGCAAAGCTTGAGTCTAGATTTGCTGGGGATTTGCAAAGTCAGCTGGATTCACAGAACGTGGATCATCGACGCCAAATATGCGAATTGCGAGACCAACTGCTGCAGGTTACTTTTGCTTGGGACTATTCCTTGGAGTTATTCCGGTTATTATTTGTAGAGGTTGTTAAACCTAAGGCATGAAAAGGTAGAAGTTATCTTGAAACAGACATGAACTAAGGCATGCAAACTCTGCAAATCACTGTATGGCTTCAAAATTGAATCGCTCATTTGCTCAGAATTATCATTGTTTTCATGAAATGTGGAAACAGGATAGAGATAAGATGCTAGATAACGAGCGCCTGGCTGCGCATGCTCGAATGGCGGAAGTTGCTGAGAAGTACGTGATTCTCAAGTCTACTAATTGAGGACGTCTTAGATGCATAATATTAACTCTGCAGTGCTCTGAATATGCCTCATGGCATCAATGCAACTATTAGGAATGAAAATTGAAATGCTGATCACTTAGATTACGTTTCCCTTCATTCACCATGCCTGTACATCGGAAACATCTGTTGGGACACTTCTGCGAGGACGTGCAAAAAAAACGAAGGACCAGGTTAAGTAGAATCTGAACGGATTGGCAGGTTTGAACAACAAGCTATTCAGCAACGATTGCGAGTTGCCTCTGAGATAACAGCTCAACTTGAACGGTCTGAGGCAGGACGTCGGGAGGATAAACAATATTCCCAGGAACTTTTTGCTCGACTTCAAAAGGAGGCTTCCGAAAGGTTAGGTTACTGTGCTTGTGTTCTAAAGTAACCATTACTAGGAGTTAATGTAATACTTCTTCTTCTGTGAAATGAATAGACTCCAAGAATATTGCCTCGCGCTGACAAAATTGGTCCAAATTTTAATTCCTAAGGAACTCCATTCACTTTGTCCTTCTGCAAGATGTGAAGTCATCTTCGTGGCCATATCAGTTGTTTGGTCCCTGCTCTTTACATATCTTCTACGTGTTTGAGATTCACAAGTAATGAGTCGAATAAATGTTCTAATTGAAGAAGAATGACGTTGCTAATAGTTAACCATGCAGGGAGGAGACATTAAGGAAGGAGATGGAAAAGAAAGTTGAAGAAATGTCAACTAAGAAGGACTGTCACATAGAGCAATTGAAATCCCAAATGGTCGCAACAACTCGCCAATTTCAACAACAGATCAACGATCGTGTCACTGAAGGAATGAGAGGCAGAGAGAAGGAGCTGCGAGTCAAGTATTGGACATTTCCCACCCTTGGTTAAAATGTGATGCTACAAATTCTCAGTAGTATTCCCCCTTTCGTAAGACATTTGCGTTCTTCTTTTCCAAAGTTAATTCGGCTATCCAAGATATCATGATCAATGGTATTCGGTTGGCTAGGCATGGGAAGATAAAACTCTAGTACACACTCGTGGGAATGATAACACTGAGACGCGGACCTGCAAATAAGGACGCAAATGTCTTACGAAACTACCATCTCTGTGTTATTGGGGACCAACACAATACGTATGAACATCTATTGTGGTACGTCTCCCTCCTTTAATTTGAGGAAGTCGTTTTAGGTTTTAACTGATGGCATGATTTACATATTTAGGTTGACGAAAGAACGAGATGAGCAGATCGAATTAGTCATCGAACGACTCGAGACTGAGAAGGAAGAGTTGATAAAACAAAACACGAAGGAGGTGGCGGCGAAGGTTAACGAAATTCATGCAGAGAAACGTGAGGTTGAACAAGAGTTGAAGGACTTCAAGTCCAAACTGACAGAGCTCAGTAATGCAGTACTTTTGGTACAGTCATTTTCTGAAGCCAATAAACTATGTTGTAGCAAGTCTGTTCATGCCATGTTATCAGTAAATCATCTCCTTACTGGCTCACGGTCGTGGATAGTGTGAAACGACCAGCGCAAATCGGAAGCGGAAATGGAGCTCGCAGAAGCATGGCAAAAAATCCAGTCATTGCGTGGGGAGATACAAGACCAAGCTCGTGTGAATGATGAGCTTCGTCATCAGGTTGGTGGTCCTTTGTCTAATTCTACAAGTTCAAAGACCACACATCTTTACTTTTCGCGTCATCTTTAGTGGAGCAGATGAACAACCGTCATTAATATTCAGGAGATAGAAGAGGGTTTGTTAGTTAGGGTTCTACACTGCTATCGTAGACAAAGTAAAGCAGCTTATCTAAGCTTTAGTTTGTCAAAGTGGGAACAATCAATGCTGAACTGGGACACGAGAAAATAACTCCACACTACATACATTGGTTTGCAGGCTTCACTGCAAGAGGCCAAGCTGAAGAGTCAAGAAGAAGCTTATGAGGAGAGTCTAAAGGAGGAGAAGACACGATTCCAGCAAATAATAGAAGACTTGAGCCATAGCAACTCCAAGGCTGACGAACTTCGCGCTCGCAAGGTTCTTCTAACTGCACACAATATTATGGTGACATACTAATCCTGGAAACCTACCATTAGCATAATATCGGTGGCTGAAAGATGCAGTATCAATCAACAAGGGCCTGATCATGACATAGCAAACTCAAAAGCTGTAGCCTACAATTATTAGGGTATGAATGTACTTGAAAACCTTGTTGGAACGAGTGTTATCCAATTCCACGTTTCTCAAGAAATGTGAGTACACATGTCTATTTACCCTAGAATGGTTTGTAATGCTTTGTGTGGTTGGAGTGATATAGGCTGAAGAATTAGCGGAAGTTGAAGCCCGAGTGCGACAAGCAATAGTGAAGAAGGACGTTGTAATTGCAAACTTACGAGAACAACTAGTGTCAGCACACATTCACATAAAGAATACTGAGTTTCTTCTTCAGCGAGAACATAATGCACTCATCTCAGAGTCTTCGACTTCTATGAAAGCATTAGACGAGAAATGCAACCCATGAAACAATTATTACTACCATGTCATCTTTGAGCACAACAAACATTAAAAAATACAGAAGATTTAACTAGTAGAAACCTCTCTACTCTTACTGTTGCATAGACTACAGGCTATCTAACCAGATACAATTTACCTCCATTTATCCATAAGTAAGTTCTACTGTACACCACCAGATACTGAATTCTCCGAAAGCAACGTTATAATCAAATCCTTGATTTGTTTACGAAAAGTAGTAATTTTGTGGAAATCCCACCTATTGAGGCAATGTTCTTGAAAAACTTATAATACCTACAAGCAACTTAATGTACCAGAAACATTATTTTTTGAAAAAACCCATAATGTATTCTATGTGGCCTAAGATGCAATGTTGGCGTCTTTGGTGGGACTTTAAAGATAAGTTCAACAAAATAAGTTTTACCCAATATTGCTACAAATTCCACTACATTGTTACATTTGATTGAGTTAACCATATAGTTTGTAAGATTGAAATAAGATTCAAAGGCTCAACCAATTACTAATTCAATCTTAGTTATAAGAAAGCAAAAGTCAGCAAAAGAAACTTTTAGTCTAATTTGAAACCCTCTCATAACACCAGGCACAAAACGATAAAAACAAACAAACAAACCCAATCCAGTCTCTCAGCGTCGTGTTGATGTGATCGCCATGTGCTTGTGGATCGCCGTTCACAACGCAGTCTAAAGCACAAGCAAACGAAGAAGAACCATGGCATCAAATGGGTCCACCAAGCAGAGGAGCAACGCCATCGCTGAGGATTTGTTGGACCTGCAGGAAGTGGAGGAGGAAGTCATCTACTTGATCAGCATCAGGAGAGCCTTCCACTGCTGTTTGTCCAGGATCAGCTCGTTCGGGTGCGAGATCCACACCAGCAGTGAGGCGTTCATCTCATCCTGGAGGGATTCGTGACCACCGCCGAAGTCTTAACTCAACAGGTTCTAGAACCTGCGGAGGATCATCGAGGACCACAACAAATCTCCCATCATGTTGCATAGCAGCAGCAGGTTCATGAGAGATCGACGATATCATTAACGGGGTGACAAGTTTCTCATTTTTCAAGTTTCGGGAAGGAGTCCCTGGAAGTGGAGGACTAGTCCTTAATGTGGTTCTGGAAGGTGTTAGAGTTTCCCTTATTAGAGCTGGAATTGCAGCGGCTGCAAGAACCTTGCTCGCCTTCCAGTGAGACAGAAAAACCAGGTCTAATTTCATTGTCGACTCGACCAGGTTATTCTAGTACCACGCGATTCGTCTCAACTGATCGACAAACAGAACACTGTCGAAAAAACCCAGCGCCCCAGTTTCTCAAAAGTGGTTGTTGTTGAACTACTAGTGCGTTTGTGCGCAAAAATCGTATGGTATTCACTTACGCAAACATGGTTGCCGCATGGTTCTCTTGACAAGCAAAGTCATCTTTTCATGAATTAAAGCAAGCAACACGAAGGACAGGTATTAGATGGAGTGTCGCTTTTTCACGTGGTCATTTTTATTTGTCTATTTATAATGTATAAGTGATTCCTCACATGCACCAGGGTTGGCATTTGTCACTTTATCAACACCACTCTCCGCAAAATGGGGGCCACGGCGATCATCCAACAAACTCAGCCCCCTCCTGTGTGTATATATACCTTGCTGTGTCTGCGCGTGTGTCTGTTTATTTGTATGTATGTATGTATGTGTGTGTGTATGTATGTGTATGTATATGAGTATGTGTATGTATGTATATGTACGTATATATATATATATATATATATATATAGTGAGTATGTGCACCCGAGCAGCGTAACATGGTGATACACAAATTTTGACCATTCGACCACACCAGTGCCGGTCTCATCACGCCATGTGCTGGCACCGCAATGCTTTGCACCCTTCTCGCCCGGATCTCTGACTCCAGCTCTAGATTTTATTAATAGGATAGAAAATCGCCCGGATTTCTGACTCCAGCACTAGATTTTATTAATAGGATAGAAAATCTACAAGAACTGATTCGGTTGCCTGATTGTTTACGTGAAGAAGGATGTGATGTGCACAAGACTTTATCAAAGAATATGACCTATTGTTTGCGGATTAAGATGGAGCTATCAAAAATTCATCAAGATGTGGAATTTTAAAAGTATCTCACATTGTATTATCCATCTAAAAGAATTAACATACTAAGTGATGAAATTCCACTACTACTATTAGAAAATAAATAGATGGGCTTGTTTAATCACTTGACAAATAAAATTCCAACAATAATATTTCATGTTATAGATTTTTATATAGAAGTCCATCAAAATTAAAGATTTTTCTTATGTACTAATTATAATGTCAACATTTATCATATTAAAACATAATCTAGAATTCTATAGTGGAACAAGTGAGAATTTAAAAAAAAAAATAATAATAAAAATAATAACATTCTAATATTAAAAGAATCTATATACTCTTTAATAATTATGATTAATTAATTTAAATAGTAATATTATGGGAAAAAAATCTACAAGTTTCAAACTATGTTACAAATTATATTTAAAAGTCATTTTTTACTCTTCTATATACAAATGGCAGTTAGAAGATAAATTAATCATACATCTAATAAAATAAAGAAAAAAAATCTAGTATTATTAAGTTCACAATAGATTCAAATAACTAAAAAATGAAGAGAAATTTAAAAAGACATATAGTTCAAAGTTAGAACCTAAAAAAGATTAATATTAATATAATTTATAAAGCATAAAAGTATTGTTAAAAATAAATAAATGATAAAAATAAAAATAAATATTATTATTAAAATTTATCTTTGGGACTTAATGAGTTGTAGAATTTATAATGCATTGATGTCAAGAATAAAAAATTAAAGAATATAAATAACCAAGTAGGACATTTGTCAATGAAAGATGACAAAAAAGAAATAAGTAAGTATGTATATTTAAGAAAAAACTAAAATTTTGTATCATTCATAAGATATTGAAAAGTAATTAGCACATTTGTGACTCCAAAAGGGATGACATTGTATTCAAAATGCCCATACTCAGTTTAAAACATAATTTTTCATTCATCTCTTTTTCCAATGTATACTTAATTATATGCTCTTTATAGATTTATTTTTGTATAGGTCTTAATTATGTTTAATTAATTAAGAAGTTATGATAATAAAGATAGAAGATATCTATTCTAAATGGTGATTTTGTTGAGCCCTCAATAATCCATACACATCTTTAATGATCTATTTTTTTCTTCATAATCTAGATAGATACTTCTATTGCAATTTTTAAATGGTATATGAAGTTTTTGGTGAGGTTCTCATTCATGTATTCCTTGTGCTCTACCGACTCATTTTGTGATGAATTATAGATTGGTCCAAATAGCAATTAAACTTATTTTTTAAGATCCATTGAAAAATCATAAAAATAATCCTTTGAAAAAATATTTATATTTATTTTTCAAAAATATCTTGATAATCTTGATATTGGCTTAAAATTTTACTTAAATTATTTTCATCATTGGAAATGCATATGGCATAAATAAAAAAAAATAAGATCTTTTTTTTGCAATATATATAAATTTTTTTATATCTTCACAGAAAAATTAGATGCAATAGACTTATGACTTTCTACTTTGTAAATGAAATTCTTAATTATACTTTAAAAAAAATTAAGACTACAAGAAATTAAATTTATTTAAGAATTTTATTTTTTTATCCATGATATATCAAAAATGATTGAATTGATAGGAGATCTAATAATGTTAAATATCAATAAGTTATTATGGCTATTTTTGGCTATATTTATAGAAAAAAAATTATGGATAATATTTCCAAAAGACAAAAAATAACCATGTATGACTTCTATATACACATGTTTAGTTTTTTAATCAAAGGTATTTAATATTTTTTAACAATTATTTTATCTAAAAATTAAGTAAAGGCTTCTAAAGGTGGAAAAATAGAGACTTTGTGAATTTTTAGGTCCTAAATCAACATCTATTATAAAAAAAAGAAAAGACTCTAAAGAGAGAATTTGACTTGTACTAGGTATTCTACAAGATTTAAGTCACACAGTCCCTATTGTAGTTGGAAAATTCATTTTTCAATATATTAATTTTTTTAACATATATACTCTTTATTTTGTAGTTGCATCATTTTTTTTATCAATATAGAATAATTTGCATTGATTTTTCATAATATAAGTATAATCCTTTTTAATAATGGCTAACATTTTTTTGTTGAATAAGAAGTTTAAAATGTATTGCCTCAATTTGCTTATTTTTACCTTTTGAATATATGTATTGAAAAGATGTTGGTATTACCATTAATTTATAAAAAAATTATCTTGATGCACATAATTTAAGTACATCAAAATTATTTGGTGAATAATTAATTCTATTTGTAGAGAAGAAAAAATATAATATTAATATATTTATAAATTGGAATGGAATTTAAAATAGGAAATTCTTACCTTAAAAGGATTATTTAAGCTTTGAAGTTATTATCTTTTAGGATACATATCTAGCTCTATAGTAGTTCAAGGTGGGTATTGAGGAGATGTTAGGGTAGAGATTTGGAATCAAGTGGAGATTTCTTGGGCTAGAGTGACAAGAGAGATTCATGCAAATTTGTGGAAAGGAAGTTATTAGAATTTTTGGATGATGAGATTCAAGATTAGTTCAAATTTTAGTTAAGCCATTTATTGAATTTTCATCTTATTGTTTTGAAATTTTGAGGGAAACTTGAACTTATTATAATTTTTTTGATAAGGCTTTATATAAAGGTAAATTTTACTGTTCAATCTAAATTAAAAGATGGCCTCAATTAAAAATTATTTATAATTGGTGGTATAAAGTAGAAGTAGCAATAACAAGAACAAAAAAAAATATAATACAAAGCAATTAAAACAACTGCAATCAAGCAATTGTACACTACAAAACTAATCACAATCTATTTATTGGATTTTTATCTAGTAAAAAATAAAAATAAAAAATAAAAAATAAAAAATAATTTTTTAGATAGATAATTTTTTATCTTAAACAATGAAACAAAAAAATATAAATCTAATTTACTATGAGTAAGTTATGATAGGTTAAAAATAAAAAAAATAAATAATAAAAAAATTAAGTAAATAATTTTTACCTCAAGGATAACTTACTTAAGAGAACAAGAATTCAAGCCTCATCAAGGCTCATAAGTAGTGTATATGGGTTCCTAAGAGAGGCCATGAGGACTTAGTCTTATCATCCTAACTACCTTCAAGGTGCTACAACCTATATGAGACTTGTGCACCTCCCTTTTTACAAGGACTATATTAATTATTGGTCCTCCTATTTTCTATTTGTAAAATCAATATTTTTTTATTTTTGACTTCACCATGGTATTTAGAAACATCCAATTACTCTAGAAACCTTTGGTGGCCTTCAAATCTTGCTCCATTTCTTCATAATAGCTCCCAAAGTAGTAAAATTCATTTTTATCAAAGTCTTAAAAATTTCGCTAAAAATTCCTAAAAATACTAAATAAATTTTAAATAAAATTTAAAAATTCCTATAATATTTTTTTAATACTAATATCAATTTAAATCTATATTTTCCTACCTTGGTTATTTTTTATAGTAATAAAATCAATTTAAATCTACTATAAATCTTATTTCTTATATAACTAACTAAAAAGACATGAGGTGATTTTTTCATGATTCTTCTAATCATTAATTAATATTTATAGTTTTTTATAAGTAATATATTTAGATAGAAGGCCAATATAAATAATGATCTTAATGAATAATCTTTACTACTCAATAATAAATAAAAATACTAAATCAATTAAGATAATTGCTTCTAAGACTTATTAAGATTCTATTTCTACAATTAATATTCTAATTTTCTATTTGTCTAAGGATTTCTATATTACTTACTATAAATTATAATTTCAATCACTCTAAATATATCTTTTTATTCTAAAACAATTAGTGAGTTGATTTGATGACTCACTTATGGGGACCATTTGGGATGACTTGCAAAGAAGAAGAACCTAGAATTAATCATGTAAAATCTATTACTTTAGAAGTATTTGGCTTTAAAAGCTATCAACTTTCTACAATCTGAATGAGTGGCCTATTGCCACTT